ACGCCATTGTTTACAATACAACCGGAGCACATGCTGCTGAGGTGAGGGGCGGGATGATTAGACTTGCACTAGAGGCGGTTCAGCCAATCACAACACACTGGGCTAGCTAACCAATCAGAGCCCATTGCCTATTTCTGAGGGCGGGGCTTCATAAAAGCAGGAAATGATCAGTGTGTTTAGAGGACAAGAGACAGCGCGGTGTGGAATAAAGGTCAATTATGTGAAAAATAATGCGTTTTGTTTTAAACTAAGCATTAACACATGTTAGACTGCACCCCATAAACACAATCAAGCCAAGAAAAAAACCAGTGAACCACCCCTTTAAGAAAAGCTCTACTACTGTAGTCTCACAGAAACTAGTCAAACTTTGTGACCTATTTTTAGTGGAAATCAGTTTCTTATTTATTAATTTTATGATCAACATGATGTTGAATGTTTGCATCACTCAGCCCACCATGTCTGGTGTGATTATGTCTTGCAGGTTTCGTGTGACCTGCAATAAAATCATCACTCACAAGATGTTTGACCATGTGGTTCTTGTCATCATCTTTCTCAACTGCATCACTATTGCCATGGAGAGGCCCAGAATCGACCCCTCCAGCGCTGTGAGTAATGTTACCTCATGCACATTCACACATGCAAGCATGCCATTCAAAGCAACTTTTGCTGTAGGAATAATAGGTCAGACAATTGAAACACTTCTCTGACATGGTTGTTTTCTTATTTTTAATTAAAAAAAGTTCACTTTTGGCAACATTTTTATACAGTTTTTGCAGGATAAGGACTTGAACTTACCGTATTGGCCCGAATATAAGACGACCCTGATTTTACGACGACCCCCCCACCCCCCCCTTTTTCCAGATGTACCTTTTGGAAAAAGGCTTTTTAAAAACCAAATCTTGTTTTTTCTCCAATCAAGCCAAGAAAAAAACTGTGAACCACCCCTTTAAATAATTCATGCTGAACAGAATTTGTGGCACAAAAAAATACAAAATGTATGAACATTAGGGTGATACAACAAAAACAGCCTTATGTACTTAACTGAGGTGAAAACGGTACACAGTACTGGTGACTCAAATCAGTGAATATTTTTTTTATTCACTAGTGCTTCAGACTTTCCAACGCAAGAGAGATCACCGTTGTGAATGAACTGATTCACTATAATTTCATAATCTTAAAACTAACCTGTAATAAGTGTACCGTTTAGGATTGAATTGAATTCACTAGAATAATTTGGACTACCCAACGATACTTGGGATCATTAAGGGTGAACCGATTAACTTTCCAGCGCTTGATGAGAGACAGAAAAGGATGGTTAAGGTGAGCGCATTTGACCATTTCCTTCAGCTCCGATATTATTAAAACACATGCCACTACAAAATATTTTAGTTAATTACTCCCAAACGCTGGTATACTAGCTATAAATTAAACTAACACTAGGCTATATGGTTGTAGCCTACAGTAACAATTAAACACTGGGTTTTATAACAAAGCGGTTATTTTGCTGTTCTTCTGTCCTCTGACTTAGGGCTGAGCGGTATATCGAGTGTGTACGATATATCGATATTTTCTTTATAAGCGATTCGATATGAGGCAATACCGTTTATATCGATATACAGTAGTTTGATACAAGCGCATCTGAAAATATAGCGGAGGACACAGACTGAGCTGCTATGGAGAAAATCCAATTTGTTCTAAACATGTGACAAGCTTCATATTAAGGCCTTTAAAAACTGGTAAGACATAGTTTATAGTTTTATTTCGCATATTAGTTTAAGCGGCTCGGCCCGTCATGTGCTCTGACCATAGACGGCTCTGACAGAAAGACTGCATGTGCCACTGACAGAGACACTAGGCTACTGGCACTGTTTAATATGTTTGAGATGTGCTGTTTCCCTTAATGCATAACTTACATTTCACATGTATATTCTCCATCTGTAAATGTTAGAAAGCCATGGAGATATTTCCATTTTTCTGTCAGAAGTGCATGAGCCTTCTGCTTCGGGCTTCTCCGCTAAACTTCACAGACTTCAGTGAACGAGCGCCGCCCAAACAGACAGAGCTCAATTAAATAGGAGCTTAACTCAAGCCTTTTCTTGACACAGAAATGTCCACAATGCAGACAAAATGAGTGTGAGGGCTCAAACTCACATATGCCAGTGTGTTGTTTTACCATTCAGACTTCTTTCATTAATACTTTTGCATTTGGATTCATTCGGTCTTAGAGCAGCATGTTTTGTGATGCACTGAAATGCACTGTTAACTCAAGCCTTTTCTTGACACAGAAATGTCCACAATGATAGGATACAGGATACAATGTGAAGGCCACACTCATTCATCATAGACTAGCATTTAAAAACTGGGACCCGCTCCACATACTGAATATTTGAAGTTTTTTTTTTTTTTGATGATCTTTTTTGATACCTGAGTACACAAAGTATCTAAAATGACCCTCCCTACAAACTTCAGGAATTCTTTAGAACTTCAGGAATTCAATTCAATTCAAGTTTATTTGTACAGCGCTTTTCACGATACAAATCATTGCAAAGCAACTTTACAGCAAATTAAGTTTCTACAATATTGTCTGTCAATATTGTCTGTCAGTATTGACTGTCAGTTTATGTACATATGGCAGAAATGTACGGAAAATCAATTAAATTCAGACTTCTTTCATTAATACTTTTGCATTTGGATTCATTCGGTCTTAGAGCAGCATGTTTTGTGATGCACTGAAATGCACTGTTAACTCAAGCCTTTTCTCGACACATAAATGTCCACAATGCAGACAAAATGAACATAACGGGTCGGTTGTCTAATGCCAGAGTGTGAGGGCTCAAACTCACATATGCCAGTGTGTTGTTTTACCATGTCTTGTTTAGTACAGGTCACAATGACTTCACAGGTCCCACAGGAGACAAGTACATCTTTTCTCTGCACACAGCACCTCATTAAAAGCATGTCTTACTCACCCGATAAATCAGGCATCTGCTATCTGTGACAGAAAAAGGGCCTACTAGAGAGTGTAATGTTTCACAGACATGAATTTTTAAACTTGTTTATATTTCAACACCTGTTGTATTGGAACACGGTTAATTGGTTATGTGTCAAGATGCTTGTGTGTGTGTGTGTGTTTAAGAGAAAAATTATTTTAATTCTGCATGTTCGTTTTTTTTATTCTGCATATCTGTGTTTAAGATACTGTTTTTTCCCTCCTTTGTAAAACCTTTTTTTGTGAAGATTATTTGGAAACTGGAATCAGCAGCAAATAATCATTATATATGTTGATTCCAAATCCATTTCTTATCCAGTCTTTTTATGTCTCTCTTTATCAATCTCGCAGTGCACACATCAAAACAAGATGATTTTAAAATGTATGTTCAACCCCAAAGCTCTGAAGGGTGACGCCTTTGAAGGGAATATGGCATAGGGATGATCACTTTTCCATGCCCTCGTGTTCTTTTCTTCATTCACTGTGCTGTTTGCATTGAAGAAGCTTTTAAATGCACTACTGTCCTACATTTTATATGCTTGCACAGACACAAGATGGTCCAGTATATTGGCAGCACTGCATATAGATAAGACATGATTATTAGCAGTAGAAAACATTAATAAATAATTTCTCAGGCAATACTGAACATGTCACACTATTTCACAACACACTACTTCATTAGACACATTAGGATATCAAGTGACTTGTACGTGGTAGCAGCAACCTCAGTGCAGCATTACAGCATCTTCAAATTTCCTTTTTAGCACTAGATTTTGTGAATCATATATTATTTATGCAACATCAGTTAAACATGTAAAGCACAGTTCATAAGACCACAATACTAACAGATAGGCTAATTAATAATTAAAACATTACACTAATTTGCAATTTTAGTTTCATCTTTTTTTTGGTGATTTTTGGTTACAAATGTGATGCTATGTCACCTTCATTGACATTCGAGGTCGTCAGAATTGCATGAATACTGAGTCTGACCGTTTGTGCGCAATTCAATCCAGCCTTCCCCTTTCGAAATGGCAGAACAGTGTCTCGTCTAATCATAGGAGAAGCATGTATTGAAGTAATCTGTGAGATTACTGTTTGCTGCTTTCTCCTGTAGCGGTGTCTGTTTTTCAAAGATAGTTGTAGGGGAGGATCTCATCATTAAATCATGTTGTCAAGGCGACAAGTTTGTGTGAAGCATGGCTTTGAGCAGAGTGTGTCAGAACACAGGCGTATTCCTGTCACGATTTCATCACTATTTCTTGGCAACCCAAAAACCGCAACACTACAACCAGGTAAATACATATTACAGCACTCACTCATGCTGCTTTGTCAGAATGATTCATAGTATCAGACGAGTCGTACACTGTACGCATTTCTAATGATGCATGAAGCACTGAGCAACATATCTGGCAACACAAGCAGTTGCAACATCAAATCACTGTGTTTTTTGCAGGATTATACATTAAATATACATTAAAAAGTACATGTTGTTTATTATGCTCCACATTTTTATGATGTGTTTCACAGTTGTTGGTCTCGCTCAGTTTATGCAACACACACTGCAGTGGCCAGTGTCAACATTTACTGGTCTGTTTCTTTCTCTGCTTCCAGTGGTCAAGAGCGATGAAGGCATATGCAGTCCCGCACTGTGCTCCTGAGTTGATGTTGTTAGCATTATCACACTTGATCAGTAACTATTAATGAAGGAAACCATGGCTGATTCAAGATGTGGCTCTTGCTCTGCGTTACCATGGAAACCAGAGCTGCAGCGCTGCAGTCTCAAATTGGGAGTTGGAAGAAAAAGACAGGAAAGAGAAAAAAGAGATAAAGAAGGAGGGGGTATTTCAGCTGGAATGGTGGAGAAAGGTAGTCCCTATATAACCATTAACGCAGGCGTTTTATGATCCTTTTATCACTTTACTTGCAAGCAAAACACCTTTGGCTATCTAATTTCATAAACAAATGTATTTGATTTGGTAAATAAATTCATTTTGGGGGTTTAGTCTTTTAGAGGCGTTCGTGTACTCCCTGCACATCATGGTCTGCTGTTGTTACAAATTTTGCTATATGCGTACATTCCTGACGATTCATTACAATGGTCACAGCGCCCTCTGTAAATGTGCACTACCGCTCCAAACCTGTAGACGGCGACGTTGAATCATACGTTTCACCAGGGTGCACGAGGAAACCACTTCATGATACCAAACGTATCAACGAGCAATCCTGCTCGTTCAGCAACAGTTCAGTGATTTAAAACTTCGATGCTACTGTAAACATTAATGAAGGACTTTTTTATGGTTGTCATATTAAGTTTTAGACGTAGAATACTTGCTTAGATAGTCGTGGGTGTCATGACAGTCAGTTTCTTTAATTGTCCATTAATCTGTGATGGTTATTATGTACATGACAACGATGGCAAATCCATGTAACATTGCTGCTGACCTGAATAAGTACATTGTGAAGGAGGTAAGCGTTGAGATTTGTCATTTTAATTTTTGAATGAATGCATGTTATTGTTTTAATTAAATGTTTTGTACTTAGGCTCCTCCAACTATTTATTATGTTCCAAATTTTATAACGGAGGCCGAGGAGGAGTATTTGTTGCAGCAGGTAGGACTTTTATCTGGCCCGGATTGGTTGTAATGCTACTATGTACCTAGATAACGCGTCAGCAGTGCTTTATACACACTGCCCTGTGTCTCTTTTGTAAGGTATACAGAGCTCCCAAGCCCAAGTGGACACAATTGTCAGGGAGGAGGCTACAGAACTGGGGTCAGTAACAGGCTATATTTGACATAAGAAATAAATCAATGCAAATACTCAGTTAACCAAGTAAAGCCTGACATAAAATAATTGTCAGATTTTTTATTTTTCCAATGGAACTTTATTATTGAACTTTCACTTCAGTAATAACAATATAACAATAAAAAAAGTTTAAAGGGGTCATGTGATGCTATTTTAAAGATCATTATTTTGTGTATTTGGTGTAACAGAATATGTTGACATGCTTTAATGTTCAAAAAACACATTATTTTTCAAATACTGTACATTATTGTAAGTCCTCTATGCCCCGCCTCTCTCAAACAGTCGTTTTCAACAAAGCCCCCTCCTTTGACAAGCACAGTCTGCTCTGATTGGCCAGCTGAACCAGTGCATTGTGATTGGCCGAACACAACAAGCACGCGTCGGAAATGTAACGCCCCTTACCATAATCGCGAGCTTCATCTTTCAAAATAAATGTAAAGACAGAGCCCGAAAGGGGAACAGAGTCTCGTGACAGACACAGTGAT